TTTGGCTCTTCCTTTACCCTAGTTAGGGGTATGTGTAGTTTTATCTGTTCATATCCTAACACCCTGGCATATATCGTCACTCAGCAATGAGCAAATTGCAGTTTATTCCCTTTAAACTATCACTATCCTAGACTCTTTTAGAAAGAACCATAGTATTTCCCACTGCTTTAAAAAAGTCTAAGAATGTTTATGGTTGATGGTGTGTGATACAGAGTCCCTGTTGGTTCCTGTTCCTCTTGAGGGCAGTCCTAGAGATAACTGATTCTGGGACTTTTATTAGTTTTCTGGTTATTTTAAATTCATGTATTTTGTCCATCTGCTCAAGGAGCTGGTGTGGCTTAAAATTGAAGTTAGATTTTCATCAGTCTCTGTAAGGGAAGACTTTGTTATGAATTGTTCAGACTGGACATTTTGTGGTTGGAGGGAAATAGTTGCAAACTATGGAAGACAACAGATCAAAGATGGAAGTAAACAGGGCAGGGTCAGGTCCCCAGCCTCTCTGTGGACTCTGCCCCCCGGGGTGGGATTGTGAGGGCAGGAGGTTGAACAGGCCTAATCCTGTGTGCAGCCCTTGGCCTCAGGCACATCAGAAGTGTGGTGACATCTCAGTATTACATTTTTTCCCTCCTTACTTTTGCTGTCAGCTTTAGTTGGTTTATTTTCTCATTAAAAAAAAAAAAAGTGACACAAGATTAAATGGAAGTTTTTACATTCTTTCCATTTCTGTTGTATAGAGGTAACCCTCATTCAAAATGAGATTTATTCCCTTTACTGTGCCATTTGTATTTCAGTTCTAAACCAAGAAATGTCAACTTACTACTGAAAAATAACAGCAACTAAGCCAGTTTTAATATTAATGCTTGCCTCTCCTTAAAAATATCAGCAGCAATTTGAAGAGGGAAATTTAGCAGTTGGAGAGTTAAAAGCTAATTTGGTGATTTGGTGAGTGAAAGAATTCACCGAAGATATTGTGCAGAATGGTCTGTTATCTAACATTCTCATCAGCACTAGAAGCCGCAAGATGTCAAATTAGACAGTGTGCATTTAAGACAATGTAGCTGTGTTATCATCATGGTTTAATTTGAAATTTTATATATCTTGGTGTTATTATTTCAGATCACTAGCTATATTTGATTAGATTATTTTTGATATTCATATATACATAGGTAGATAAGCTTCTTTTTAAAAAAAATTTATTGGGATCCTCATTCACTGCTGGTGTGAATGTGAACTGGTGCAGCCACTATGGAAAACAGCATGGAGGTTCCTCAAAAAATTAAGAACAGAGTTACCCACTTCTGGGTATCTACCTAAAAAATTTAAAACATTTATTTGCAAAGATATATGCACCCCCTATGTTCATTACAGCATTATTCACAGTGGCCAAGACACAGATAGCTGGTGTTAACTAGTTTTTGAAAATGCATTTAAAATACATAAATTACCAAGTTTACCACAGGGAAGAATGTGTGAGAGAGGACCTAGTCTATAAAAGAAGCCATTGTTTCTAAGACCAGTTCTGTTTCTTACTTTTTTTGGGGGGGGTTTGTTTTTGAATAGTTAACACATTCATTTAATTCAGAATTTAAAAGGTACAATGGAGTATGGTTTGAAAATTCTTTCTCCCAGCTACTTATTTCTCTTTTCAGGAGGCAACCAATGTTTTCATCTCTAAGCCATTCTGATTTTGATAAAATTTTGGTAAATTTTGACATATTTGTGATCAATGGGTATCTAATATTTTATGTTCTGTTTATGTCATTGGCATACTTTTATTACCCAATCTTTTTGTCTGATTAAGAGCATATAATCCCTTCTACTTAACTATTTTCTCACTGGGCATTTAAATTTTTTTCTGTTCAATTTTGTTGCTTTTAAAAATAACAAACAGTAGCATATTTATAAAAATACAGGTACTTTTTTTTTTTCACTGAAAAGTTACCATATTTTTTATTTCACAATTCTGAAATTTATTTATTTATGTTTAAATATATCTTTATTGATTTCAGAGGGGGGAAGGGAGAGGGAGAGAGAGAGATAGAAACATCAATGATGAGAGAGTCATTGATCGGCTGCCTCCTGCACGCCCCCAACTGGGGATCGAGCCCGCAACCCGGGCATGTGCCTTGACCAGGAATCAAACCGTGATCTGGATCCTAGGTTGATGCTCAATTGCTGGGCCATGCCCGGTTGGGCCACAATTCTGAAATTTTTATATTTAATGATTATATTTTGTATAAGCAGTGTCTTTTTCCTGTGAAAAGCTGTTATTAAATTAACGATATCACTTATAATGAATAGAGTCTTAAACAGAGGAGAAATATTTTCTTGTATTTGTTTTTCAGAGGGGACACACTCAGTTAAGGGTGTGATAACATTATAATCCTTGTTCTGTGTTACTAGATTTCCTGGCAGAGTGATTGAATTAATTGAGGTTTTATTCCCTCTCCCTCTTAATGAATTTAATATGCATGAAATAGTGGTAAACTTCAGAGTTTAAAAAAGGAGAGTGCATATTTGCCATATGTATCCCTTTAAGTGTTATAAAATATTTGAAGTTTAAGACAAATAGCAATCTTAATTTTTTTCTAAAATTACTCAGTATTTCTGAATAGTATTTGTTGTATATTCCTGGGCCTATTACATAATGTTTTAAAAATGTATATTGACATTTAAAACATACACAGACCATGCATTGCTAGAAGCTTTCCTCCTTCAAATGTAGTAGAGCACATAGGTGCGAAACTCTCATGGATGTGGGCCTTGCTACCTGTTATCAGTTTAGTTTTGTGGTTATGCCCAATTCTTGTTGGGTCTTATTATGTGTTCTGGGTAACGAATCTTCAAAGCATATGATAGTTAATGTGTTTGTTTAAAACTGCAGTCATTTCCTTCTCTTAATTGTACTGTTCTTATAGAAAGCCTCTTACATGTACACTCAGAAAGAAATTTGAAGAGTTGTTAAAGGAGTACAAATCTCAGTAAAGTAGCAATTATTTCCAAAAGGGTCTGTGAGAGAAGAAGGGGAGGAGGAAACTTGGGGGTGGGGAGGATGCTGGTTGGGGTACTTACTACTGCTCTGTGGGATGTTTTAATTTACTAATGACTAAAAACAGGAAAGAACTCTATATTTATTTAAACATAATGTCCACATTTAACAAATGGCAACCAGGGGTTGACATTGTCTGGTGGTGGCAGATTTGGGGGATTATAATCAAAATTTGTGGTTCTATTATTATTTTTTTAATCTGCTTTAGTTTAGAACGTAAAGCCCATTTTCCCAAAGATAGTTTTTGCAACCATTATTTAGACAAGAGATTTCAAGGAAGTAGCAAACTTTTCCAGTTGGTTTGGTCTTTAATACTAGCTACAGGAGCAATTATTTGGATTATCATTTTAACGTAATTTTTCACTCAGCAATCCTTTTGAAACTATTGTTTGCTTATATTGAAACACTGAAATGTTTCTTCCTGCCTGTAGTGCAACAGATTAAAAGAGAGAGAGAGTAACACAGGCAAATCAACATGTAAAATTGGGTCGGTCAGTCACCCGGGGACCTGTGTGCCAGTAGTCTGGATTGTGTGGGTTGGGAGTTGCACAAAGCCCGGAGAGAGACAGCGAATTGCTGTACCCCTATGCTTGGTGGACAAAAAGGGGATTAGGGCCCTGGGGGATCCAGGACAATAAGCTTCCCACGAAGAGGAAAGAAACCTAGTGTCGGTGTTGGCAGTTGTGGATGTTGATAGGGTCAGGATGAGAAAAGGGTCAGGACTGGAACAGGAGCAGTTGGGGGTTTTATAGCCCCAGGCCAGTTAGGAGAATGGGCTGGGACTTGTCCCTGTCCCTTGCAAGGAGGTCTGGGAGGGCAGTAGGATTTAGAAAAGTGAGTGGGAATGTGGGTGAAGGTAGAGTGGAGTTGCACGCATTCTGTTCCACACGTGACATGCTATTGCAGTGAAGGTGTGACTATATAATTATGATGATATAAGTGCAGTTATGATTATATAGTGTAAATAGCCACAGGTGAGATGAAGATGTGCAAAGGAAGCTTTTTCACTCATGAATGGAGATATATGTATTTACATTTTAAAAAACGTATTCATTTTTATATATCCATATACATACACACATGCACATTCTGTCTTTCTTACAGAAACAAAAAAAGTTTGGTAGCAGTTTTGTTAAACATTCCTTTCCCCCCCTCACCAGTTGATGGATTTCAGATGCAGATACACTCTCATTATCCAAGTTCAAACATCTGCCGGTCACTAGAAATGCAGATGTGCTTTGATTTGCCCATGTTGTGCTCATGGGAACTAGATGGTCCATTTCCCAGTTCAGCCTTGAGTTTTTCTGGGTTTGTGTTGAAATGATACTTAAATTGTCTTTCTAAATTCTCTCCTCTTGTGTGGGCATTACTATGGAGAGATTTGCTCAGGATAATACATTTTAGAATTTGAGCCAGAGGAGACATTCTCCTCTGACTTAAGGCACCTTCATGGGGCAAAGTTGTGTTAATTGTTCTACAACCCAAGGAAGTGGAAGCAGGTGGCTGAGCTAAGTAACGCGAATGTTTGCTAAGAAGAGGAAGGAAACCATAGTAGATATGAATTTTAGCTCCAGCTCATAAAAGACACCAAGCAGATATCTCTTCCCCTTTCATTGGGAGCTCCCCACTGCCATATCTGGCTTCACTTTTGTTTTCCAAATGAGTTTATTAGTTTTGCCATTTTGGATATGGCTGGGCTGACCCTGGAAACACTGGTCTGAGAAACACTCTTGACATTTCAAGTAGAAACAAACCCAGACATAGATTGGCTTGAGCAGAGTTGGGACCATCCCTGTGAACTGGCCAAAGCGTCATCTTCTGATTTCCCGCTGAAGAGGGAGATGTAAAGTGGTACAACTTGGCGGGTTTTCTGGATTTTTCTTCATTACTCTGCCAGTTGGGCTCTGATTTGGAAATCTGCTTCTCTCTCTCCCCACCCTGTTGCCTGCAGGCTGGTGGCTCTCAGGTCATCTTTACCAACCCACTGGAGATAGTCAAGATTCGGCTGCAGGTAGCCGGGGAGATCACTACAGGCCCCAGGGTCAGCGCCCTGAATGTGCTCCAGGACCTGGGACTTTTTGGTTTGTATAAGGTGGGCAGATTCCCTCCACTTATCTCAACAGAAAGGTTGTGATGCACTCAATAGAAATGTGAAAGAATGTGGAAACCAGACATCTTCCCCTCAAATGGAAAAGCAATCTTGTCCAGTAGGGTAGTTCCTGGAGTGGAAAATCAAACAAAAAGGAAAAATCCGGACACATGTATCAGAAGCGCAGTGGGCTACACAAATGCACTCTCCTGGTGTCATCTCAGGCCTTTATGAAGCTGCCATCTCAGGCCTCTGCAGACCCGCTGGCTTCAGGCTCACAGCCTTTTGATGACGGGTTTGGGAAAAGTTTCTTTGGTGTTCTCTTTGGGCTGGTTTAGGACTTCAAGACAGTCTTATGTTTATCTTTGAGTCTGTTATCTCTATTGTTATCTTCCCAGTAGGAGCTTCTCTTTGTCTTAATAATTTGACCACAGTGAAACAGTAGTAGAGTTTGGTAGGATTCAGGTATTTAAGAAGTTAAGTGGTGGGATTTGTCAATAATGAATTCCATTTAAAAAAAAAGAGTGTATTGTACTTTAGCAAAATGCCAGTCAACAGATTCCTTCCCTGCAGGTATACTTACTCCCATTATTATAGATCAGATGTAATGGAGCAGAAGCTGTTATTTTTCTTAAACAAGGAAGAGTATTTCTTTCTATTCTTCGCCTGGTATAGGGGGGGATACGTAAATTTAGCTGCTATAGACAACTGAGTTTCCACAGCATCTGATTTATTTATAGACCCATCACTGTAGAAGTGTGTAAACTGGCTTTTGTAGCAGCAAATTAGAAATTCTGTAGATTAGACTCACACAGCTACAGGGCTCTTAAGAGACCAGTAAACCAACAATGCCTGTCTTGAGTTTTGTTCACATTCCTTCCCTTCCACCCCCAATTCCTATTCTTTTTGGAATTCCCTTTGAGACTGAGTTTATTAATGTTGTTTTTCTTTGTATCATCCTTCAGAGAGTCCCTGGAATTTAAAAAAATGTTTTTAGATGTTCCCTGTGTCTTTTAAAAATAGCCATTAGGGAAATAAGTGCCAAAGCTGGAACATTCACCTGGCTCGGTAAAGCCCTGGGCAGTGGAACCTGTGTGCTACTGACCAAGCTGAGGAAGATGTTCACTGTGACCTCAGCCACTGAGACAGGCTGTCCCTGGTGGCTTTCTGCTCCATGGAAACCTCCTGGCAAAATATTCTGTCTGGGTCCCCCCAGTCCTCTGCTATTTTTAGGACATGGGGAACATTGGTGGTTTCTC